GGCTGCCCTTCTTCCTGGCCCAGGCCTTTTTATCACCTCTCTGACCTCAGCAGCCCGGTCCAACCGAAGCTGCCAATACTGGCTACAAACCGTCCAATCTGCATGGCATCCCTGGCTACCTGGGCCCGCGCACAGGGCCGGGTCTTCCCCCCCTGCCCAGGTGACCAGAGCATCGCCTCCCAGGCGCCAGGCTTTTGTCTGCAGACAAGGAGCGAGATCCCCGCTGTGAGAGATTCAACAGCAGCCTCTCAGGCTGGCTGAGACAGTTCTCAGGAGAGGGGCACCGACGGTGGCATTTCTGCCACATAGACGGAAATAAATGTAGCATGCTGGGAGGAACCCACAGACCATACATTTGGAAAACTTCTTTGTTTCACCAAAAATGGATGAGCATGGTGCAGAAATGAAGAGTTCTAAGTTATATAGCAGGAGACCCACCAGACCACTACTATCCTCCCAGAAAAAAAATGGTTTTGCCCATCACAAAGTTATTGACATCGTCGTTCCTTCCCTTATTGGTTTCTACCTTGTGCTGTTATTTAATCAAAAATTGCCTCCTCCATTCAGCTCCCTGAGATGAGCTCAAAAGTTCCAGGGTAACTAATGACAGACAAAAACCATGCTTACCTGTACATTTGCATGTACACATGACTGATACATGCCCACATCCATACAAAAACATTTTGTCAGCTTGCAGCTGATGAAGTTGCCTGAGCAACTAAACACTTGGTGGCTTCTCCAGGCACTGTTCTACTAACCTTTTCCAGACACAATGCACTGTTCATGGTGACCACACAAATCCAATCTCTCTGCTTCGCTCAGATCCTAATTTGACTCACCTGCCAAAGCCTGAGGTTCATGCAGCCAACACGTCATGGGAGGACAGTGAGCCTTACTCACTGGGATGTAGCACTTTGTGACCAAGCTTCTTGTGGGTCCCTTCAGAAGCAGCCTCCTATGTCTTCTTAACAACTGGCCTGCCCCTTACAACATCCCTTGGGTTTGTTATCAGTCCTCACTAGATTCATTGCAGTCTGTTATGCCCACCCATTCTGCTGGGCCTTTCCCAGAACTGGCCTTTCCCTAGGCCCCTTTATTGCCCTCCTAATAAAATATCACTGGACAAGTCCTTTCCTTCCAGGCTGCTTAGCCTTAGCTAGCCTCTTATCCCATCCAGCCAGTCCCCAACCCTACTCACAACAAAACTACTTCCAGCTTTCTCCTGCAGCTCTCTTCTCTGCTGCTGGAGCACTTCTGCCTTTTGTTGCTGGAGCCCTTCCCTTATATCCCTGTAAGGGCAGAGCCTCACACTTCATTAAAAGGTCCATTTTCTTTTTTGTCTTCGTTTCTTGTACTGAGAAAAAAAGGGGACCTTGTTACAGCCGTGCACCTCACCACGAGGTGGCAGCAGACATGAAGTATGGGGTTAGGACCCTGGGATTATAGCTGCTGATGCTCTTCTTTCACTTGCTCACGCCGGTGCTAGCATTCTGCTGGTAACGGTTAGCTAAGGAGGTTTTATTCATGTTGGAAAAGACATCCCAACCCTATCTAAAATGTGCGTGTGGATTCAGGCAAGCCTGTGAGGTCAAAAGATGATCTCTACTGATTGCTTTTGGTAGCATGAGCCAGGTCTATGCACACGTGTGCGCAAATCTAAGCCTCAAAATACATACAATTCAGTGTAATTTAGAGAGAGGCAACAATGGACAGACCTGTGAATTTTGTCTCTTCCCCCATGAAGTATGTAACAGGCATGTCCCAAGGGTAACCTTTATTCCCAGACCCTTCCATTGCAGGCTCTTTAATCTCCCATCCATTCTAAGTGAAGCCCACAGGAAAATTCCTGCACTGGAAGTTCCTGACTAAAAGCCCCCTGACTTTAGGGACCTCAGTCTCTAACCAGACCCCAAACTGGCCATTTCAATGTCTCCCACTTCTCGACTCCTCTTACAGACTGTTTTTTGGTTCCTTTCTACATGTACTAGGGTGGCATATGAACACCGAGTGGAGACTCATGTTGATTGCACACTGCAGAAGAGTGTCGCTGGACATCCTCCCCACAATGCATTATCTCCAGTCCATGCTGAGAAGCTCAGTGAGACCTTTAGGCAGGTGTTATATTGTTTCCAGCATTGTTATTACTCCTGGTAGTTTCCCTTGTAGCACTGGTCACAGAAACCTCTTAGGAAAAGGCTGGAATAGATGGGACTGATCTCGGTGTCTGCAGGACACATGCTGTACCTCTGGTCCTTCAAGACATGGATCACCATCTCTACAGATGCCTCCAAGGAAGAGATATCCCAGCAGCAACATGCTATAAAAGCACCTCAGATGCTGCCACTGATTACTGTACCAGAGGAAAAAAAAAATACACAGTGATGATTCAAATATGAGTATTCACTTATTCCAAATGGATCATTTGTCCTGGAATCCAGAGGCTGCCAGATCAGTGTCCTGGGAGAAAGAGGAAGAAAGGCTGATACAGTCTTATATATAGAAGAAATCTCATCTATATCTTAAGGGGTGGTCTAGCCTGACCATTGGATAACACAGCCAACAATTTCCCCTTTAAGGACTCCAGCATCAAGCTCAACATTTTAAAAAGTTAAATTAAAAAGTGTATTTTATTAGAAAGGAGGCATCCAATCTTGGTGTAGACATTTCAAGAGGTAAAGAATCCACCCATAGCCTAGTAGTTTATTTCAATGAGTCACATCACTCACCGATTTTAAAAAAACCAAGCATACGCACAAAAACAGAGAGAGAGAGAGAGAGAGAGCGCGCGCACACACGAGAGTGCACGCTCATTTTCTTTCAAATCTGGATTTTAGTTTCCAGCTCCCATCCATTGCATCTGGTTCTGCCTGTATCTTTGACAGATCAAAGAACCATCTCATGTGAGGAATGTCTTTCCTGTGTAGATTCCTATGGACTGTTAATCGGCCTTTTCCAATATGTTCAGATGAACCTACATTTCAAATGACAACAGGAATAAGAATAAAGAACAATGTAATAGAGAGTCCTAAATCACATGAAAATTGCCCAGAAAGCCCCCTTTTTAGTTCAGCAATTCCCTCATGTCCAGCTAGAGGGAAGCAATTGCAAGGACAACTATAGCTTCCTCAGTCTAAGCCAAAACCGCAAGCTCCACCCTTATCATCCTCATTGGGCAAATCCCATATGCAAATCCTTTACAACATAGCTTCCTGCAGAAATAAAAGCTCCTCGTCTTCAGAAATCTCAGTCCCCCTCCAGACACTGAAGAAGTGGCAATTCCTGCCAAGACACATTGAGGAAGAGAAGAAATCATAAAATCCTCACCAATTTTCTCCCTTCTCCAATGAATATGGATGCAAGACCAACAACTGAGAGGTCCAGGGATTGAATGCTGAATTCGACTGTACTCCTTTGAGGGGGAAAAAGAAAAAAACACCACACCTATGGGAAATAATACAAGCGATAATGCAGAATTCAATATTTCATAGCTCATTCAGTCTGAAAATGCATCTGCTCTTGGACGCGTTTAATAGCATCCAGTCTGGGCCTTGGGAAATAGGACAGGATGATCAGCTGACCTGCACCATCTTTAAATATGATCATATGGAAAACTGGAGCTCGGTCCAGCACCACTGATGAAAGGACAGAAAACCAATGGATTGGATGGGATGTATATAGCCACATGAAGCATATTCACAATGTTTCTTATGTTTTTAAAAGCTTGAATACTTTCTTCATAGATGCCACCAGAACCTAGGATTATTTGGAGTGAATATACCCAAGAGAAACAGACTTTGTATTTCAGGAAAGATGGATGTCACCTGCACAGTTGTAAACTCAGATGTGAAGTCTCCAGGTGAGTGATAATGTAGATGAACAGACTTGTATTTTACTGGAGCAGTGTAAATGTGGTTGAGATGTACCTTGGTTTATAAATATTTCATCGCATGAAAATACCAGGTATTAAATGTCTTATTCAATCTAAAACAGTAAAAGAATCAACATCTGGAAGCTCAAGCTACAAAGAGAGGCGTCTGTGCACGGTAGTCAAGCCACACAATCTTATTTTATGCTGTTCCAGTAAAATTCAGCAAGCTGGTATACTGTTGAACTTCATCTCTTTGCCTTAAAACATGCCCCTGCACTAATGCAACCATTCATTGCTCCACATTTTCCTTATTACTGTAAATACAAATTGTCTCTGGCTACTATGTTACTACTTGTTTAGTTTGCTGCTAGTCTCTGGGCACTAGAAAATTAGACAGATGGTTCCAAAGTTGCTTCTTGAACTGATTTTGGAGGAAGGATCCCAAATTTATTTGGGTTTCTGTGAGAATCTCTTGAGGGTCTGTGTTTCATTCCTAAGAGGCACTTTATAGAGATACCATAAAGGAGAAACATTCTTTAGAAGTTCTAATCAATGCAAGTAAATGATACATAATTTGGCCTCTAATGATGCAGTGATACAAAGGAACACCAATTTCAAAGTGAGCCCAAGGGATTTTGGAGCCTTACATCTCATAAGGAGAAATCCTGACACCAATCTTTGACTATGATGGGGTGGAATTTCATGCTTAGTGTATAAATCACCTGGGCTTCTTTTCATAATGCACTCTGGCTGGAAAAAGGTGGAGTGGTCCAGACTTATCCCCACTCCTACCTACCTCAAGTCTAGAGTAGGTATGCTGAATTCAATCAAACCCAGGAATACAGTAGGGCCAAAATGGTTCAAATCCAAGGTCTGTCCCTTGGAAGTGGTCACTGTAATATGCAACAGAAGAAGCAAGAAACTCCCCACTGCCAGATATGGAATAAGCCACTCTAAGAGACATGTCCTCTTAACCTACAATAGTCTTAGACTATGGACAAGCAGTGGTTTAAATACTTTAAAAGGGGAAGGGGAAGCTGCCACTTGGGGGCACACATCAGCAGCCTGCTCCCATAGGGATACAAAACTGGCTACATCAGTATAACTTTCAGCCTCTCATTCACATTTAAAAATTGAAATGGTTATATCTCTACAGAAGGATGTAGACATAACCACGATATGGGAACTGCTTATGCCAGTCTCGTTATTAAATGATACCATGGTGTCATCCGTCTATACCCTATGTATTCTGTCATCATCAGTAGGTCATTGACCAGTTTCTCCTGGCACAGAAGAATAATTTCTGCCCAAGACCCCTTACAATCTCACTACGAACCAGGAGACAAGTAGGTAGACGCAGAAAGATAAGGGAACATAAGACAATACAATAGTGTTGACCAGCATAACAGGCATTGGTTATAACACATCAGCCAAACAACCCCTGCCAAGTCATTGTTAGAAACTAGTCTTAAGCCCAGGAACATATTGATTTTAAGAACCTTCCTAAAGCTTTTGCCTTCTTTTTTTTTTTTTTTTTAAATTCGGAATAATCTCTTTAGCTGTATCAATGTTCCCTCCTTGGTTTTAAGTTTATGGCTTCAGTGCCGTCTTGTGACAGCAAGGCTCACACTTTTCATTAACAGAAAGGTAGGTAGTAGTGTTAGTCTGAAGTTAGGCAGAAGGCAGGGCTCCTTCTATCTGAACCCCCGCTCCTTGACAGTCCTTTCATCATATCCAACACGGTAAGCTGTTGCTTACAAAAAGTTTATGCAAATGTAATTTAGAGTTGTGTTGCAGGTAAGGAAAAAGACTTCTTTGAATTAGTTATGAATTTGATGAAGAGAAAAAAAAAAGTGGCAAATGCCTCTATATTCTGTTAGGAATAGAAACTCCTGATCCAACCTCTTCAGACTTGCAGTTCATAAAAGATTTATTATCCCTCTTTTTAATCTCTTCTCAGTACCCACATTTTTCAGTCTTTCTTCATAGAAGAGGCTTTCTCCATGCCCAAATCCTTCCATAAACTGGTGAAGGAACTTCCTTCACTGGAGGTTTTCAAGAAGAGGCTGGGTAGGACTGTATGAGGGCTGGTTTAGGAACAGCTGATCCAGTATCTGCACAGGAAGCTGGACTTCGAGTCTCAAAGTCTCTTCCAACCCTATGATAATATGGTTCCATGATTCCCACCATGTTTCTCTGAACCCATCTTTAGATCTGAACTACCCTTCTTGCTGTTGCTAAGAGCCATCCTTCAAATCTACAAGCCCTATAGCAAAGAAAGTTGCTGATGTGCACTATCCTATTATTTCAGTACATAGGCCACTGAGAAAACCCACCGACTCAGAGAAAAGGAGGGGGTTCTAATTTGGTTCCTTTTCAGTGTATGATTGAACCACCTTTAGAGGAGACAGACACTCAATCCAGGGGGTATGGAGCAGCCAACTTCTTTAAGCTCCTTTGAAAAATTCTCTTACTGAAGTGAAAATTGAATGGGGGTAGGAAGGAGCTTTTCTTAATAGACTTTAACATCAGAATATCAGTTAGCTATTTAGTCACAGATACCACATTTTGAAAAGAAACTCCTACTCTACCATCCCAAGAGACGAAGAAACTGAAAAAGTCAGTCCATTAGGGTCAATCACATTC